GAAGATGAACGTAGCTGAAATGAGAATGTTGAGATGGATGCATGGGCACCCCAAGAAAAGACAAGATTAGGAACGAAGTTGTTAAGTAGTTAGTCATGTATAGTATCCCACATCGGGAAGTAGATACCTATTATTATGTAATCATTGTATATAAATAGGGTTGTACAACACTTTAATTAAGTAATAATATTTTTCTCCCGTACTTTCTCACATGGTATCAGAGCAATTGTGAGAGTTTATCGCTGTGCATAAATTCCAGCGACTCCGGGAAGAGTAATCAGTCAACCGGAAGGCTTTTTCCGGCAAACACAGGGCTGTTGCAAGTAAAAGGCCACTATCCATCAGTATTGTGCAAAAAATAACACCACCAGGAAGTAGATCAGAGCTCGGCGACCAACCCGTGAAAAAATCTCCAGCAGAAAAGGACGCACGCGCCCTCACGCGCCGCCGGAAGAATTTCTCCGGCGAAGCTCCGACATCCACGCGCCGGCGCGTGAGGCAGTCTCCATCCCGAATTTGGGAAAACTCCTTCAGGGCAGTGTCTTCTCTTTGCAAATCCGAGCATACTCATCCAATTTAAATCAAATTCCGACCACTTTTATATATTTTTTGCGTGAACAGTGATTTCCAAAAAAATTCTGCTTTTTCGGCGCAGCATTATAATGGCATTCGTATCAGAAGCCTTTAACTCACAATCCGTTGGATCCAATTCATTGAATCCAATCCAAATGGTTTCTTTATCGGATTATATTGAGTTCCTTCATTACAAAACATGTAAACAAACATATTCACGGATAGCTTTTGTTGTTCAAACAGATAGTAGCGTGACTTGTGTCTCCCAACCTTCAACCTCTGAGTCTTGGGTCATTGTTTCAGATGTATCTGATCATATTTCTGCCAACAAATCTATTTTCACTACTATTTCATACCCTCAATCTCTTCCAACAGTCACAATGGCCAACGGATCTCAAACCATGGCAACTGGAATAGGTAAGCAAGTCCACTTCCTTCCTTACCTTTAGACTCAGTTCTTTATGTTCCCAATAGTCCTTTTAATCTCATAATCGTTAGTCGCTTAGCCAAATCACTTAAATGCATTGTTTTATTTCTTGATGACCTTACTTTTATACAGGAACGCAGTACGGGGCAGATCATTGGTACCTAGAGTGAAACAGATTGACTTTATTACCTTATCCTTGCAAAATCATATGGACTCACATCTTGTCTTCCTTCAATAACTTGTCTTGTTACCGATTCACCAGATTTATTACATAAACGGTTGGGACATACCAGTTTGTCAAAACTTCAGAAAATGGTACCTGGTTTATCTCACTTGTCCACTTTAGAGTGTGAGTCATGTCAGCTCGGTAAACATACCTGCTCCCATTTCCCTTGGCCTCTAGATAATCGAGTAGAGTCACCTTTGGCTTTAGTCCATTCAGATGTTTGGGGTCCTAGTCGGGTCAGTTCTACATTGGGATTCCGCTACTTTGTCAGTTTCATTGATGATTATTCCAGATGCACTTGGATATTTTTGATGATAAACCGGTCTAAGTTGTTCTCTATTTTCCAGATCTTCCACGCTGAAATTCAAAATCAATTTGGGGTTTCTATCTGCACATTTCGTAGTGATAATGCCCTAGAGTATTTGTCTTCCCATTTCAGCAGTCTATGAACTCTCATGGGATTATTCATCAAACATCGTCTCTGTACACATCTCAACAAAATGGGGTAGCTGAAAGAAAGAATAAACATTTTATTGAAACTACTCGTACCCTACTCATACAATCTCATGTTCCGTTGCATTTTTGGGAGGATGCAGTTCTTACATCTTGCTATCTTATTAATCGTATGTCATCTTCAGCTATCCAGAATCAAGTTCCATTCTCTGTCCTATTTCCCCATTTACCTTTATTCTCTTTTCCACCCTGTATCTTTGGAAGCACGTGTTTTGTTCATAACCTTACTCCAGGAAATAATAAGTTAGTTCCTCGTGCTCTTAAGTGCATATTTATGGGTTACTCGAGAACGCAAAAGAGGTAACGATGCTATTCTCCTGACCTCCAGCGGTACCTTATGTCCGCTGATGTTACCTTCTTTGAAACCCAATCATACTTCACTGGTCCAGGTAATCACTTAGATATTTCTGAGGTGCTACCAGTTTCATCTTTTGGAGATTCAGTCACTATCTTCCATTCATCTTCCTCTACAACTCCAGCTCCACCACCTACAGCTCCAGTTGCAGCTCCACCACCTACAGCTCCAGTTGCAGCTCCACCACCTACAGCTCCAGTTGCAGCTCCACCACCTACAGCTCCAGTTACAACTCCACCACCTATAGCTCCAGTTACAACTCCACCACCTATAGCTCCAGTTCCACCACCTAGTCCAATTCAACCTTCTGCAACTCCACCACTCTTGACTTATCATCGCCGTCCACGTCCAGCATCAGGAGGAATCTAGTGGTCTTGTATGCTAATTGCGCAGGTCACTATATATGGTTTGAAACAGTCCCCTCGAGCTTGGTTTGGTAAGTTCAGCACAGTTATTCAGGAGTTCGGCATGACTCGTAGTGAAGCTGATCACTCTGTGTTTTATCGGCATTCTGCTCCTAATCTTTGTATTTATCGGGTGGTTTATGTTGATAATATTGTTATTACTGGCAATGATCAAGATGGTATTACTAATATGAAGCAGCATTTCTTTCAGCACTTCCAGACTAAGGATCTGGGCAGATTGAAGTATTTTCTAGGTATTGAGGTCGCTCAGTCTAGCTCAGATATTGTTATTTCACAGCGGAAGCATGCCTTAGACATTCTTGAGGAGACTAGAATGATGGGTTGCAGACCTGTTGACACTCCTATGGATCCGAATGCTAAGCTTCTGCCTGGACAGGGGGAGCCTCTTAGAGATCCTACGAGATAGGAGGTTGGTTGGAAAACTGAATTACCTCACAGTGACTAGACCTGACATTTCTTTTCCGGTGAGGGTTGTAAGTCAATTTATGGATTCTCCCTGTGATAGTCACTGGGATGCAGCTGTTCACATTCTTCGGTATATAAAGTCAGCTCCAGGCAAAGGGTTACTGTACGAGGATCGAGGCCACGAGCAAATTGTTGGGTACACAGATGCTGATGGGTAGGATCACCTTCTGATAGACGTTCTATGCTTGGATATTGTGTTCTAGTAGGAGGTAATTTGGTCTCTTGGAAGAGCAAGAAACAGAATGTAGTTGCTCGATCTAACGCCGAAGCCGAATATCGGGTCATGGCTATGGCAACATGTGAGCTAGTTTGGGTCAAGCAGTTGTTCTAGGAGTTGAAGTTCGGAGAAATCAGCAAGATGGAACTGGTGTGTGATAATCAAGCTGCTCTTCATATTGCGTCAAATCCGGTGTTCCATGAGAGAACGAAACACATTGAGATCGACTATCACTTTGTTAGAGAAAAGATACTCTCAAGAGATATTATTACAAAGTTTGTAAAGTCGAATAATCAGCTAGCAGATATTTTCACTAAGTCTCTTACTGGTTCTCGTATTAGTTAAATCTGTAACAAGCTCGGTACATATGATTTATATGCACCGGCTTGAGGGGGAGTGTTAAGTAGTTAGTCATGTATAGTGTCCCACATCGGGAAGTAGATACCTATTACTATGTAATCACTGTATATAAATAGGGTTGTACAACACTTTAATTAAGTAATAATATTTTTCTCTCGTGCTTTCTCACAGAAGTTATTATGGATAAGGTGGGAGTGGCCCCCCCGTGGAGGACAAGTTGCGAGAATCGAGACTGAGATGGTTTGGGCATGTGAAGAGGCAAGACATAGCTTCCCCAGTTACGAGGTGTGAGAGGTTGACCATGGCGGGTCTGAAGAAGGGTAGGGGTAGGCCTAAAAAGTATTGGGGTGAGGTGATTAGGCAAGACATGTCACTCAGTGGCGAAGCCACATGGTCATAAGGGTGGTGAATTGACCACCCTTCGTCGAAAAATTACACTATGTACATAGGTAAAATATTACATTTTAGAGGTATATAACACATATTGAACACCCTTTGTCGTGAATTTTTTTCACTTCCTTTAAATTTGAACACACTTGGGAAAATGCCTAGATTCGCCACTGATGTCACTGCTTCAGCTTACCGAGGACATGATCCTCGATAGGAAAGTGTGGAGGACGAGTATTAGGGTGGAAAGTTGAGAGTTAGTCGTGAGTCGCTCCTAAGCTTGCCTGTTTTACTGGTTCTATTGTTGTATTTTCTTATTCCTGTTTCCTATTCGTACATGTTGTGTTATTCGTTTCCATTACCATGCTATCTTGTTGTTACAATTGTTTGTTGCTTTAGTTTCACTGTTCCTTGAGCCGAGGTTGGTCTTCTGGAAACACTCTCTCTATCTTCGTAAGGTAGGGGTAAAGTCTGCGTACACACTACCCTCACTAAACCCCACTTGTGGGATTACACTGGGTTTGTTGTTGGTGGTGTTGTTGTGATGTTCCTTTGACCTCCTAGTGCTAACCTAGACGCACCAAATCCTTAACATACACAGTAAACTTGCTAAAATCAATCACAGCAAGAACCCTTATTAGACACAGGCGCGGATGTAGTGTATAATTTACGGGTTCAACTGCACCCATAATTTTCGACGCGGAGTAAAAATTTGCATGTAAAAATTCATTAAAATTGCAAAAATAGTAGATATGAACCCATAATTTTAAAAATATAATGGGTTCAATGTTAAAAACTTTAAAATTGACCCCATTGGATTTAAATCCTGGATCCGCCTCTAGTTAGACATTCGTATCCAACTACAAGAAGGACAAAAAGTGTGTTACATTTGATCTTACTCAGTGAAATTGAGATCCTCCAATCATTTATTTTCATCTAAAAGTCTAAATACCAACTACAAAGCTGAAGTATGAAGTACACTTCTCTAATGTCAGCATAAAAGATTAACTCCAGTTGACAGCAAAATGCAGAAGTAAATGGCTGATCTGAATCTAACTAGCGCACCTTAATTTTGCAAGCCGATTCATGCATGTTGCAGCAGCATGTGACTTGTAGTCCCTCAACAGAACAGAGTATAGACCATCCTTATTTCCATTTCCTGTTGTCATCTCACACAAATAACAACTACTGTCACTTCATTATTGATTACGGTCTTGAAATCCAAAAAAAGAACAGACCATAAGTTAAAAGGACAATACACGTGAGAACTCCTTCCAATGTAATCAATCAAAGGGTACGAGAAAAGATTAAGGCTGTGCTATAGCAACAATAGTGCATAAGCAGGTGGCGTTTTGCACATGTACCTCATGAGGGGAATCAACAAAATCAAATTATATGGCAAATAATATAAAAATTATGTCAGTTTCGATTGAATGGGCACTAAAGGTAAACTGACCTAATGTAGCCTTCCCGAGTTGCCCGCTGATCAGTTCACTATTTCGGAAATAAACAAATCCATCACTTGGGCACATTGTTTCCCCTTTCCCGCTGTAACTCTTTTCTGTGACTGTTAGATTTACATAGACTCTCATCTTTGAATATGGACGCAGCAGCACGCCAAAGAGTTGTTTCCCAGTCCAAAGCTCAACCGGCTGTAAAAAGCCATCTCAGTCATTCGAACATCCAAAGACAAGACAAACAGTAAATTCTACTGGCTTCAGAACGTAAAAAAAGATGGAAACAAAACTCAACCAAACCATACCTACTAATAAAAAAAAAAAGAAGGGTGTGCACTATGATTTTGGTTAGTGCTAATATGCATATTCCAATCCAAATCAAATATCTAGGAAGAATGATGATTTGTTGCTTCCGCCAAAAGCTTCAAAGATCAAAATTTTCAATCAAATGATATTTTTGAATTTTAGCAGTATTAACATAAAAGGTCAAATGTCACTAATAGTTTCCTTAATTAGGGCAACTACTCTCTTCGCTAACTCTATGTTGCCAAAGAATAAAATAAACTAAACGATATTAAGAAAATACGGAAAGAAATTGTTGAAACAACTGCCCCCAGCCATTCTCCAAAGCACCTCTCTCAAGGACCACATCCCCAATCCCCCCCCCCCCCCCCCC